CACCACTGACCCCACAGAAATACAAACTACCATCAGAGAATACTATAAACACCTCTATGCAAATAAACTAGAAAACCTAGAAGAAATGGATAATTTCCTGGACACTTACACTCTCCCAAGACTAAACCAGAAAGAAGCTGAATCCCTGAATAGACCAATAGCAGGCTCTGAAATTGAGGCAATAATTAATAGCCTACCAACCAAAAAAAGTCCAGAACCAGATGGATTCACAACTGAATTCTACCAGAGGTACAAGGAGGAGCTGGTACCATTCCTTCTGAAACTATTCCAATCAATAGAAAAAGAGGGAACCCTCCCTAACTCATTTTATGAGGCCAACATCATCCTGATACCAAAGCCTGGCAGAGACACTACAAAAAAGAGAATTTTAGACCAATATCCCTGATGAACATCGATGCAAAAATCCTCAATAAACTACTAGCAAACCGGATCCAGTAGCACATCAAAAAGTTTATCCACCATGATCAAGTGGGCTTCATCCCTGGGATGCAAAGTTGGTTCAACATACCCAAATCAATAAACGTAATCCAGCATATAAACAGAACCAAAGACAAAAACCACATGATTATCTCAATAGATGCAGAAAAGGCCTTTGACAAAATTCAACAGCCATTCATGCTAAAAATGCTCAGTAAATTCGGTATTGATGGAACGTATCTCAAAATAATAAGAGCTATTTATGACAAACCCACAGCCAATATCATACTGAATGGGCAAAACTGGAAAAATTCCCTTTGAAAACTGGCACAAGACAGAGATGCCCTCTCTCACAACTCCTGTTCAACATAGTGTTGGAAGTTCTGGATAGGGCAATCAGGCAAGGGAAAGAAATACCGGGTATTCAGTCAGGAAAAGAAGAAGTCAAATTGTCCCTGTTTGCAGATGACATGATTGTGTATTTAGAAAACCCCATTGTCTCAGCCCAAAATCTCCTTAGCTGATAAGCAACTTCAGCAAAGTCTCAGGATACAAAATTCATGTGCAAAAATCACAAGCATTCTTATACACCAGTAACAGACAAACAGAGAGCCAAATCATGAATGAACTTCCATTCACAATTGCTTCAAAGAGAATAAAATACCTAGGAATCCAATTTACACGGGATGGAAAGGACCTCTTCAAGGAGAACTAAAAACCACTGCTCAGTGAAATAAAAGAGGACACAAACAAATGGAAGAACATACCATGCTCATGGATAGGAAGAATCAATATCGTGAAAATGGCCATATTGCCCAAGGTAATTTATAGATTCAATGCCATCCCCATCAAGCTACCAAGGAGTTTCTTCACAGAATTGGAAAAAACTGCTTTAAAGTTCATATGGAACCAAAAAAGAGCCCGCATTGCCAAGACAATCCTAAGTCAAAAGAACAAAGCTGGAGGCATCATGCTACCTGACTTCAAACTATACTACAAGGCTACAGTAACCAAAACAGCATGATACTGGTACAAAAACAGAGATATAGACCAATGGAACAGAACAGAGTCCTCAGAAATAATACCACACATCTACAGCCATCTGATCTTTGACAAACCTGAGAGAAACAAGAAATGGGGAAAGGATTCCCTATTTAATAAATGGTGCTGGGAAAATTGGCTAGCCATAAGTAGAAAGCTGAAACTGGATCCTTTCCTTACTCCTTATATGAAAATTAATTCAAGATGGATTAGAGACTTAAATGTTAGACCTAATACCATAAAAACCCTAGAAGAAAACCTAGGTAATACCATTGAGGACACAGGCATGGGCAAGGACTTCAAGTCTTAAACACCAAAAGCATTGGCAACAAAAGCCAAAATTGACAAATAGGATCTAACTAAACTAAGGAGCTTCTGCACAGCAAAAGAAACTACCATCAGAGTGAACAGGAAACCTACAGAATGGGAGAAAATATTTGCAATCTACTCATCAGACAAAGGGCTAATATCCAGAACCTACAAAGAACTCAAACAAATTTACAAGAAAAAAACAAAGAGCCCCATCAAAAAGTGGGCAAACGATAGGAACAGACATTTCTCAAAAGAAGACATTCATACAGCCAACAGACACATGAAAAAATGCTCGTCATCACTGGCCATCAGAGAAATGAAAATCAAAACCACAATGAGATACCATCTCACACCAGTTAGAATAGCAATCATTAAAAAGTCAGGAAACAACAGGTGCTGTAGAGGATGTGGAGAAATAGGGACAGTTTTACACTGCTGGTGGGATTGTAAACTAGTTCAACCATTATGGAAAACAGTATGGCGATTCCTCAAGGATCCAGAACTAGAAGTACCATATGACCCAGCCATCCCATTACTGGGTATATACCCAAAGGATTATAAATCATGCTGCTATAAAGACACATGCACACGTATGTTTATTGCGGCACTATTCACAATAGCAAAGACTTGGAATCAACCCAAATGTACATCAGTGACAGACTGGATTAAGAAAATGTGGCACATATACACCATGGAATGCTATGCAGCCATAAAAAAGGATGAGTTTGTGTCCTTTGTAGGGACATGGATGCAGCTGGAAACCATCATTCTTAGCAAACTATCGCAAGAACAGAAAACCAAACACTGCATGTTCTCACTCATAGGTGGGAACTGAACAATGATATCCCTTGGACTCGGGAAGGGGAACATCACACACTGGGACCTATCATGGGGAGGGGGGAGGAGCGAGGGGGGAGGGATTGCATTGGGAGTTATACCTGATGTAAATAACGAGTTGATGGCAGCTGACAAGTTGATTGGTGCAGCACACCAACAGGGCACAAGTATACATATGTAACAAACCTGCACGTTATGCACATGTACCCTAGAACTTAAAGTATAATAATAATGATATATAAATAAAAAGTCCTAAAACAACAGATGCTGGTGAGGTTGCAGAGAAATGGAAATACTTTTATGCTGTTGGTGGGTATGTAAACTAGGTCAGCCACTGTGGAAACCAGTTTTGATATTTTTGAAGGAACTTAAAATAGAACTACGAGTTGACCCAGCAATCCCACTATGGAGTATAGGTCCCAAAAATATTCATTCTATCAAAAAGACACATACCCCAATATTTTCACTGTAGTGCTATGCACAATAGCGAAGAAATGGAATCAACTTATGTGCCCATCAACAGTGGAGTGTATGAGGAAAATGTAAATATACACTGATATGGTTAGGCTGTGTCCCCACTCAAATCTCATCTTGAATTGTAGCTCCCATAATTCCCACATGTTATGGGAGGGACTCAATGGGAGGTAATTTAATCACAGAGGCAGGACTTTTCCATGCTCTTCTCGTAATAGTGAATAAGTCTCTACCAGAGACTTATTGTGAGGCCTTTCCAGTCATGTGGAATTGAGAGTCCATTAAACCTCTTTCCTTTATGAATTACCCTGTCCAGGTATGTCTTTATTAACAGCATGATAACAGACTAATACATACACCATGGAATGTTATGCAGTCATAAGAAAGAACAAAAATTATGTCTTTTGCAGGACGATAGATGAAGTGGGAGGCCATTATCCTAAGCAATCTAATACAAGAACAGCAAACCAAATACCACATGTTCTCACTTATAAGTGGGAGGTAAGCATTAAATACACAAGAACTTAAAGATGGGAACAATAGACACTGAGGATCACTAGATGGGGGAGGGAGGGAAGGGATGTGGGCTGAAGAACCATCTGGTGGGTAATATGTTTACTGTCAGTGTGATGGAATAGCTGGGACCCCAAGCCTCAGCGTTATACAACTTACCTATGTAACAAAACCTGTATTTGAACCCTTTAATCTATAATGAAAGTTGACAAAAAATCTTGTAGAACTCTATAGGTTAGTAACCGTTCAAAATAAAAGGCCTAATTCTTATTTGTAATTAGGTTATTGTCATTTCAATGGGGGATACTGACAGAGGAGAAAAAAAGAATATTTCTTATCTGCAGCATAAGCAAAAGTCCTTAAAAGTAAATTTCTAAAGTAAAGTTGTACATAAAAGATAAAATTATTGACCTCCTCAAAAAAAATCTTATTTTGTCCAACACCAATTTCATGGAAACTGTCTCAGGTACATATTCTGCCTAAATAGAACATTCTTTAGGTACCTCTTCTAGTAAACAGAATTACCTTCCTTATGAATCTAACTTTTTAGAATACTTAGCAGACTAGGAATTTTCTCAGGCAGACTCACTACATTTCTAGGATTACCATTTATCTTTCAATAAGTGGAGTTTCCAGTTTCCCTACTCCAGCATTCGAACCTGAAATTTTGAGAATGAGAAAAGTTATCTTCAAAAACATACTTGCTATTTAAAAATGGGCTACTCATAATAAAACCAACATGTAATACCAGACCAGTTAATCTTGTCTCTTCCTGCCATAAATCATTATGTGTTTTTTTCAGAGATGCCCTACGCACCTTGGACCAGAGCTCTATTGCTTTTGCTACTGCTGTCTGTCTTCATTTCTCTCAGTTATCTTCCTCTACTGTGCAAACATGCCCCTTTTCCCTTCTTTTTCCCTTTTTTTTTTTTTTTCTTTCTGAGACAGAGTCTCACTCTGTTGCCCAGGCTGGAGTGCAGTGGCATAATCTTGGCTCACTACAACCTCCACCACCTGCATTCAAGCGATTCGGGTGCCTCAGCCTCCCGAGGAGCTGGGATTATAGCCGTGTGCCACCATGCCTGGCTAAGTTTTGCATTTTTACTAGAGACGGGATTTGGCTATGTTGGCCAGGCTGGTCTTGAACTCCTGGCCTCAAATGATCCACCCACCTCAGCCTCCCAAAGTGCTGGGATTACAGGTGTGAGCCACCATGCCAGACCAAGATATCCCATTTTAATCACACCATTAGTTTGGAACAGATTACAGCTGGGAGCAGAGTTTAAGTAATGAAGCTTCTCTAAGAGAAACAGGAAGGAGGACACTAGCAACACCTTCCCAACATCTTCTCTGAAAGTCAATTAACTCTTCATCTGTGATCATACCTGTGACCTCTGGGTGCTTCAGCAGGAGAAGGAGAGCATATCTCAGGGTTGTGCTTGTTGTCTCTGTCCCAGCTCCAAACAAGTCAACTGCAGTGTTTTCCAAGTTTTCAATAGTGAATTCAGACTGCTGGTTGTGCTTTTCCTAGGAATGATTTGATGCAATTATCTGACAAATTATTTACCAGCATATTTGATTACAGTGAGTTCAAAATTACTCACATTGTTATATAGTTACCAATATAGAAACTGGAAAGCATACTACTAGAAAAAAAATACTGTATAGTGTAGCAGAAGCTGTAAACCAACTTGCCCAAATTTTATTTTCTACCTCCTTATTCCATGCTTGCCTAAAAATTCCATTCATCAGGCTCTTTGCAGCTAGCGGAGTCACACAGCATTTTTTATTTATTTTTTTCCCAAAAGATATAAGCAGAAGGTCTCTAGGTCCACTTTCATTTCCTCTTTCATACTCAAAACACAAATGTGTAGTAGGAGGTAGAATAGACCCCATCCTGGGATTTAATCATGAAAATGAAGGTCTGTATACTAAATTTAGTGGGAAAAAAGGAAGGCCCTTGACTCACTGATGCTTTGGAGTTGCTGTATTATCCCTAGATTGCCCCACTGTGAGATTCCCTGTATTTGAGATAAATAAAGACATTATGTGATAAAGTCATTATTACCTGTAGACAACTACAATCTAAATTAGTAAAAAGGTAAATTAGGGCCATATCATTAGATACTGTGAGCCTGAATCAAGAGTCTGCAATTATCTTCTTCTGTCAGAAAGGTACATGGACTCAATATTGCCTCCAGATTCATTATAAAGTTGAAATTTTATAAAAATAAATATGAAAAAAGCAATATGACAGCAAAACCTAGGATAAATTATAGAGAAATATGCAGAATGAAACTGGAACACTTCCTTGCACTTTATATAAAAATTAACGCGAGATGGATTAATGATCTAAATTTAAGACCTCAAACCATAAGAATCATATAGAAAAAAAATCTATAAAATACCATTCTGGATACAGGCTTTAGAAAAGAATTTATGAATAATTCCTCAAAAGCAATTGGAACCAAAATGAATATTGACAAGTGGGACCTAATTAAAGAGCTTCTGTACAGCAAGAGAAACTACCAACAGAATAAACAGACAGCCTACAGAATGGGGCAAAATATTTGCAAACTGTGAATCCAACAATGATTCAACAGTGAGAATCTATAAGGAAGTTAGACAATTCAACAAGTTAAAAAACAAGTAACCCCATTAAAAAGTGGGCAAAGGACATATGTCCTTCCGAAGAAGACATACACATGACCAACAAGCATATGACAAAATACTCAACATCACTAATAATCAGAGAACTGCAAATCAAAACCACAGTGAGATACAATCTCATACCAGTCAAAATGGGTATGATTAGAAAGCCAAAAAATAACAGATATTGGTGAGACTGCACAGAAAAGAAGACACTTATATACTACTGGTGGGAACGTAAGTTTGTTCAGCCACTATGGAAAGCAGTTTGGAGATTTCTCAAAGAACTAAAGGCAGAACTACCATTTGATGCAGCAGTTCCACTACTGGGTATGTACCCAATGGAAAACAAATTGTTCTACTAAAAAGACACATGTGTTCGTATGTCCATCCCTGCACTATTCACAACAGTAAAGACATAGAGCCAACCAATGATGTGTCGCATAAAGAAAATGTGGTGCAGTTTGAATCGTGGTGCGACGAAGGAGTAGGTGGTAGGACCTCACCATGGGTCCAATTAGCCTTTTCTCTGTGTTGCTTGCTTCGGCTTCAGCAGAATTCGAAATGGCTGGCGGTAAGGCTGGAAAGGACTCCGGAAAGGCCAAGACAAAGGCGGTTTCCCGCTCGCAGAGAGCCGGCTTGCAGTTCCCAGTGGGCCTTATTCATGGACACCTGAAATCTAGGACGACCAGTCATGGACGTGTGGGTGCGACTGCCGCTGTGTACAGCGCTGCCATCCTGCAGTACCTCACCGCCGAGGTACTCGAACTGGCAGGAAATGCATCAAAAGACTTAAAGGTAAAGCGTATTACTCCTTGTCACTTGCAACTTGCTATTCGTGGAAATGAAGAATTGGATTCGCTCATCAAGGCTACAATTGCCGGTGATGGTGTCATTCCACACATCCACAAATCTCTGATTGGGAAGAAAGGACAACAGAAGACTGTCTAAAGGATGCCTGGATTCCTTGTTATCTCAGGACTCTAAATACTCTAACAGCTGTGCTGTGTTGGTGATTCTAGTGGACTGTATCTCTGTGAAAATCACAATTTTGCCTTTTCGTAATTCTATTTGAGCAAGTTGGAAGTTTAATTAGCTTTCCAACCAATCAAATTTCTGCATTCGAATCTTAACCATATTTAAATGTTACTGTGGCTTCAAAGAAGCTATTGATTCTGAAATAGTGGGTTTTGATTGAGTTGACTGTTCTTAAAAAACTGTTTGGATTTTAATTGTGATGCAGAAGTTACAGTAACAAACATTTGGTTTTGTACAGACATTATTTCCACTCTGGTGGATAAGCTCAATAAAGGTCGTATCCCCCCCCCCCAAAAAAAAAGAAAAAGAAAAGAAAATGTGGTATATATACACCATGAAATGCTATGCAGCCATTAAAAAAAATCATGTCTTTGCAGCAACATAGATGCCACTGGAGGTCATTATCTTGAGAGAGTTAATCCAGCAACAGAAAACCAAATACCACATGTTCTTATATAAAAGTGGGACACAAAGATGGAAACAATACACACGGAATTACTATAGAGGGTAAAGAGATATAAAGGCAAGCGCTGAAAAACTACCTATTGGGTACTCGTCTCATTATCTGGGTGACAGCATTATTTGTACCCTAAACTTCAGCATCACACAGTATACCCATGTAATAAATGTGAACATGCACTTCCTGAATCTAAAATAAGTCAAAAAAGGTTTAAAAACAGAAGGCATTTAGTATGGTATCATTTTAAAATCAGACAATCAATGGTCATAACTAAATACAAAATTTAAGATAAATTTGCCTTTTAAACTAAACCAGACCCTTGCAACAGAGGAAAAAAGAATATCTAATACCTAAATAAATTGAAAACTATCCCATGTTCAAGGATTGGAAGGCTTAATATTGTTAAGATGGCAATGCTCCTCAAAGTGATCTAAAAATTCATGCAATCCCTACCAAAATACCAATGGTCTTTTTTCCAGAAATGGGAAAGTTGATTATTCAATTTATATGCAACTACATGGTGATGAAGCAGCTACGTTTTCTGGGATGTACACCCACAGATTTGTCATCACGCCCCAGGAAAATTTAGGACATGGACATATCTGAGTGGGTTAAGTAGCTGAACATTTAATAGAAGAAAGGAGAGAAAAGAGCAGCTTCTTATGAGACAGGGGAAAGAGGGGAAAGGAGGCAGACCCAGCAGATTTTATAGGCAGGCTGGAAAAGGCAGTGTTTGATTTACATAGAGCCCAAAGATTGGTTCAATCAGGTGTGGCATTTACATAGTGGACAGGGAAGGTGGGCCACCTCACTCTAATCTTATTATGCAAATGGACTTTCCACTTGACCGGTACCATCTTGTCTGCTCCTTACTGTACATGTGGCTGGCAAAGGGAAGGGAAGATGGAGCCGCCATTTTGAACATACCTAGTCACAGGTAGCTCTTTCCTACCAGATTCACTGGTGCAGGCTTCCAGCTTGCTTGTCTATGTCTGCAGCTCGATTTCACAGGCTGCTCTTTCCCAGAAAATGATTTGGGGTTGCTTTTCATTAAAAAAGAAAAATCTTACCGAGGACTCCCAAATACTTACTATCTGCCTAAGTAATTTCTTCTTAATTTCTGTATCAGTGAGTTCTCAGTTTCCAACTTCAAAACTTACTACAACGTATAATAATCAAAAGTGTGGTCCTAGCATAAAGATAGACATCAAGACCAATGGAATAAAACAGAAAACAAGAAATAAACCTAAACATCTATGGTCAATTTAGTTTCATCAAGGATGCCTAGATCATTCAATCAGAGGAAAGAATCTCTTTAACAAATGGTGATGAGACAATTGGATGACAAAATACAAAAGAATGAAGCTCAGACCTTCCCTACCTCACTCCAAATGAAAAATATAACTGAAAATGAATGGAAAAACTTAAATATAAGAGCTAAAATTATAAAACTCTTAGAATAAAACATAGAGGTAAATCTTCATGACTTCATATTTGGCAATAGATTCATAAATTTGATACCAGAGTAGCAAAAGAAAAAATAGATAAACCAAACTTCATCAAAATTAAACTTTGTGCATCAAGAATATAATTAGGAATGTGAAGTGACAACTGACAGAATGGGAGGAAATATTTTCATATTATATATATGTAAGAGTTTACTGTTTTGAAAACATAAACAATTCTAACAGCTTAAAAAGAAAAATAAAGGCAACTTAATTTAAATAGGAAATGGACTTGAATGACATTTCTCCAAAGAAGATATACAAATGGGTACCAATATATTAAAAGAAGTTCAAAATCACTGGTCATTAAATACAAGTTAAAACCCCAATGAGAGCTGGGTGTGGAGGCCCTCACCTGTAATCCCAGCACTTAGGAATGCGAAGGTGGGCAGATCACCTGTGTCAAGAGTTCGAGACCAGCCTGGCCAACATGGTGGCCAGGCTGGTCTATCTCTACCAAAAATATAAAAATTAGTCAGACATGGTGGCACATGTCTGTAATCCCAGCTACTCTGGGGACTGAGGCAGGAGAATTGTTTGAACCCAGGAGGGAGACGTTGCAGGGAGCTGAGATCATGCCACTGCACTCCAGCCTGGGCAACAGAGTGAGACTCTGTCTCAAAATAAACAAATAAATAAATTCATACTGAGATACCACTTTACATTCACTAGGATGGCTTTTTTTTTTTTTTTTTTTTTTTGAGACGGAGTCTCGCTCTGTCACCCGGGCTGGAGTGCAGTGGCCAGATCTCAGCTCACTGCAAGCTCCGCCTCCCGGGTTCACGCCATTCTCCTGCCTCAGCCTCCCGAGTAGCTGGGACTACAGGCGCCCACCACCTCGCCCGGCTAGTTTTTGTATTTTTTAGTAGAGACGG